GGTCTTATTCCTTCAGAGCTGGTGTGTTCCCAGGACCTCCATCAGAGGCATTAATCATCTTGCAGCCAGATGGGCTCAGATGTGCTTTTCTTCATTCTTTCTTCCAGAACTGCACTGACAGCCAGCCTAAGAAATGCCTTATCCTGGATCCAGTTTGGCCAGGATAGTTCTGATTTTGCAGTAAATTCCACCCCTCTCCTGCTAGAGGAGAGCCCTACAACCCTACTGTAGGATTTTACAAAATGGCTCAGTCCAGTTTTGTAGTTTGTGGCTCATACTCAGAATGGTTTAGACAGTGGGCTGTGTCTAGGCTATCCAGATTCTGATAGCAGGGAGGATCTTCTAGGCCTATCCCTTCCTCTCTTGATCACATTCCTTGAAAGGTTAATGTTTTTCTTCCAGTCAGGGACCCTGTTCCCAGATAAGAACTAAATCTTGTTCCCAGGTCTTTGGTGGGAAGGATTTCTCACCTATTTGTGTTGGTAACTGGCCTGTGTTCAGAAGATTTAGCAGATTGAAGTGCAGCAGTAATGCTAAAAACCAGTGAAAGAGTAAGGTGCAAAAGAAATCAGCAATCTGGTTTTGTCTGTAAATTTGTCAGCAATTTGGTTTAAGCTACTGTAAGGCACCCTGGAAAAAGACAGAGGCAAATTCCATCCCTGATTTTTTTTTTTGCAGGTACAAGAGTTGGCAAGGTCAGCTGCAGCAATACTCACTCAATAGTACACTCAAGTATTTTTTGTATCCATTCTTCAAGTATATCAACTTAATGCCTTGAATGCTTTTCCTTGGGTATTAAACTTGATTTTAAAAAGCTTATGGGCTTGATGTTATGTTTATCAGTACACATTTTCCTGTGTACTTGCTTATAGTAATCAACTTATTTGGACAGAAGACAGACTGTATGGAAAGGATGGCTGCCATCCTGACATGTTTCAGTTGTTTTGAAGCCCATTCTTTGCTGTATAAAAGTTTGAACTGGGCAGAGATGCTTCTTGTTTAAAAAATATCAAGTGGATTCCAGAAAAGGCTTTGGAAATCTCAGCAGCTTTTTATTTGTGATGTTGTGCATCTGCTCTCCCTATCTTAGACTTGACTTGAAACTTGAATGTCAATATTTTATTTGAATCTCTACTAAATTGGAAATGGCAGCCTAACTCTGTAGCACATGGTGTGGAGTTGGACATTTTTGGGAAGGAAAGCTGCACAATAAACAGTAGATTTAGAGTGAAATGTTCCTTTTTTTGTTTTGTTTACAAACAATCAGGACTTGATTCTGTGGTGAATAGTTTTAAGTGGAGAAATACAAGTGCTAAAAAGCAATGTAATAATATGTCTGTAGAGCACTTTGAAGATGAAAAGCTCTATATACTGTAAACAGTATTACTGGTAGAGCCTAATCTGTGTGGAAAAATTAATCAAGCATGAGCTAAGTGTATATTTTTTTTTAAATTTACGGTTTAGTGTTTCAGAAGGTCTAATGCACCCATGTATTTACTTTCACATTGTAACATTAGAAAATTGTCCTTATATTTTTAATATGTGTATTGCAATGATTTACCCTGTTGATACTTTCCAAAAGTAGAGTCAGTGCTAATCCACAAGAGCCTTTCAGAAATGTGAAGTGTCTTGGCTGGGAGGGAAAAATAGGTATGATATAAAAATACAGTGTGATGAGAAATAGGTGCCTGTCAGATATGGCAATGTTTTGGGGGCACTTGGCCTTAGGTTTGTGCGGTGGCTTTGGACAAGACTGAAGTGAAGTCGGGAACCAGGCAGGTGCCAGATCGTGCTGGGGAGTGAACACCTGCCAGGCTGCTCCAGATAAGTCAGCAGCTCAGAGGCATTTTCCCAGGCTCCCAGCTGAATGGTCCATAATAGCCGTGGGAGAGGGCTTCCCACTGCTCCACTCTGCACCACAGCCTCCCCTTGGCAGCCTTCTGGAAGCTCAAAGTCAGCCTGGCTGTGTCTCCTTTGGAAAACAAGTGCTGCTGGATAGTCTTACAGGAGAGTTGGTGTCTGATACTTCCTCTCCGTGTCGTGGGACTCTGAAATACAACAAGCAGGGCAAATTACAGTTCCCTTAAAAGGCAGCACTGTCTGGTGCCTATTTCAGCTGAAACTGAACTGTGGCTTTTCTAGAACCACTTTTATGCAGTCTCCTTTTGGGTTTCAGGGTCTGTTTATTTCCTTGAGGTTGATTTGTTTGGTTGGATTATTTTTCTTGTTTATTTTTGGACCCTGGATCTGATGATTTAGAGTGCCCAGTTTTGAAACAAGAAAAACAAAACTTCAAGGCACTAAATACAATTTTATTTCTGCCTGTGTGCTGGTAATCCACAAAGGGAGCTTTGTCTGTGTTGCATAGTGAAGAGGAAATCGAAGGTGGGACTAGGTTTGCTGAGCCCAGGATGTGTGAACTTTCTACATTACTGGAAGAAAAATTGTCTGTAGCTTCAAACTTCTGGGCTGTGCTCAAAAGAAGTTAGTGATGGAGCATTTGGTACATATCAGTTGGTCTGTTCTTCCATGAGATCATGATCAGATATAAACTCATGCTGGGTAACTGTGTAGAAAGTTTAAAAAGCTGTGAGTCATATGGAGTTCTTGGATAAGAAGGTTTTCTTGTGGGTCTTATTTTTAAGTTTATTTTTTTCATGAAGCAGAATAGTTAATTGGATCATATATTTCCCCAGAAGGAAGCTGAAAGAGGATATCACCATTTTTATAGTTCTGCAGTAACTTTCACAGCTTTAAAACTGAGGGAGGTTTTCAAACTCCAGCTAACTACAGAGTAGATCATATGTCACATACAAGAGGGTTTCAAAACATTTGAGTGTAGCTATGTGATACTTTCAAAATACAGCTATCTTAAATGTAGTACATCTTAATATTTTCTAAGGCTTAGCAACAAGTAACAGCAGATTATCTGTTCAGGCCTTTTCAGCAAAGTAGTAAATAATAATGGAAACTAAAATGATTTTTTAATGTTAGTCTCTCCCTCTGGACTGAGATTACTAGCTCAGGTGCAATTCCCTGTGAAGACTTTCAGATTTGAGCTGATGCTGCAAAAATAGTATGTTGAGGTGTCTTAATCTCTTACATAATTATTATTTATTTTGTCAGATCTGAGGTAGGTGTTCTCGTCCACAGAACAGTAGCTGGCTGAATCAAGGGCCTCTAAGGAGAATTTGAAACTTTGTTCAGTCAATCATACATGATTAAGCACTTAACCTCTCAGAGAATACCAGGACAGCAAAAAAATAAACAGATATAGATGTTACTGGTCTATAAAATAATTTCAAGAACAGAGCATCTTGCCTTTCCTGTGAAAAAAAACAGGATTCACACTTTTTCATTTTAGATTCCTTTCAAAAAAAACCCAAAACATTTGGAATATCACCGACAAATTGAGGTAGAAAGGAAAACTTTTAATATTTACTGTCTGAAGATTTGTTTTCCAAGTTGTACTTTTAGGAATGCTACTTTCTCAGCTTTCCAAGGTCACACTGGTGTATGTTGTTATCACACTAATAACTTATTTATATACAAGGCAAATTCTTTGATTTGACTAAGCCTACTAGCAGTGATAAAGAATTGTCGGTGCCAAACTGGAAATAGCTAAAAGTAATTTTCCTTAATTGTTCTTTTAAGTAAACACTTAATAAAGCTGGTGGATTACATCCAAATTTTTCTCTAGTGCTCATCATTTTTCAGGGATGGTTCAACTTGTCACATCTTGACTCCATCTCTAAAAGGAAGTCAAATTTTGGGTGTCTTCCTGAGGGGAAGGAAAAAAGATGGCTGATAAATTTCAAAGGGATTGATTGTGATTGATAACTGTAATTCTTAATGAGAGCTGAGGCTCAACAGCACTCGATGGTGAGCTCCAGGAGGTCTTGAAGAAATAGGAGAGTGGGAGACCCTTCAGCAGGATGTGCATTTATGCTTAGAAATAAGGCATGCCTTGGCACTATCTCAGTAGGGATTGAGACTGGAACAAACCAGCTTTCCTTCTTTTTAAATGGTTAGATTATAAAAACAGCAGTAGCACTTCATATTCTAACTTATCTGTGCTGATTGCACCTAGGGTAGCTGAGTGTCTTCAAAGCATCAATAATTTAAGTCTTGCAAACGCCATCCAAGTTAGGGGAAATATCACCAACCTTTTTTCACACTTGGATTTCAGTGAGGTGCCCAGGGAGACTGGGGAGGATGAGTCACAGATATCAGTTTTTTTGCATTTTCAGTGGGAGTCAAGTTGCTAAATACCTTCATGAATGAAGTGCTAACTGGTTTACCAGGGTCATTTGGGAATTTAAGTAGAACAGAAGTAAAAGCTGATTTCCTTGGTCTAATACTCTCTCAGCTATAATATTTTCTCTCCATTTCCTACATTGCTGATGCACAAGGATTTCTGTCATTCTTGGGAATAGAAACTGGAAAAGCCTCTGGAGGTTACAGGTACCTGCTGAGTCAGCCAGGCCAGCTCGGGCTCCTGTACATACTGAGGAGTTCAAATGTGGGCATTTCTCACCTCATTCTATGGAACTGTAGAATTAAGCTCTTTCATGTTTGAATTTCTGTGTACTTATCTTTTTTTGTTGTTTTTTTTTTACCTTCCTCTAGAAGGCAGTTAAGTAAATGGGTATCTGTAGTGTTCATGTAGAATGTGTATGAAAGCATGACACTACACTACTAAGCAAATGACACCTCTGATCAATTAATTAATTTAATTTCTGGGGTTGGATTCCAGAACTTGGTGGTTATTAATTTGTGTAGATTTTTGCCATGTTTCAGGCACTTAATTTCTTAATACTTCAGTATGAGAATTCAGCAGGTTTTTTTGAAAAATACTCCATTAAAGTTACTTTTTCCTTTATATTGTTGAGCTGCTGCTGCTTTCTGTCAATCCAGTCTTAGCAGATGTGCAACACTTTGAGACCAGAATGCCCAAGACACCCTTACACCTAATATTATCCTTTTGTTTTATGTTGCAGCCAACAGTTTGCACATTACTGCCTACTTTATGAAGAGATGGGTTAATCTCCGTTGTGCTCTAGGGAAACGTTATCGTGGTAAGAAATCGGTTTCTTACAGAGTTACTTAGAAGAGGAAGCAAGGGAACATAACTAAGATTTTGTCAGATTTTAGTCTGCTTAAATCAAAATTTCTTTCAGAGCTTGGGTTTTGTTTTGGTGGGGTTTTTTTTTGGTTTGTTTTTTACCAAGTAGATTTCCTGAAAACAAAACAAAAGGAAAAAAAGAGAAGTGTTTCTTGAGATAAGATTTTTTTTTTTAAACTTAATTTTAAATTTGTGTATGCCTTGCCCCAGGGTAATCAGCTAAGCCTCACCAAATTCTGTAAGTATGATGAGACTCAGCATTTTCCTGAGTCTCTGCAGGGTGAATCAAGCAGAGGTTGCAGCATGAATCACTTCATTATTGCTCGAGTGTCTTGTGACATCAACATGCACTACAAGTGTATGCAGGAAAGGCTTTCATTCACCTCACAGCTATAAAATCTTGACGTAGGTGATGTCATTTCTTCATGTTTTCTCAAGCCAGGATGCTCTGAAAGGAAGTGACATCAGTCTTCTCCTGCCAACAGCAATGCAAAGGAGCTGTAATGATCGCTGACCTCTTGGCTGCATTAAACAAAAAAAAAGCAAAATCATAAAAAATACTGAATAATTGAATGGATATTTTAACATAATTTATTGTTTTTATAGGAATTCATGATATTCATAAATGTTTAAGTCTGTCTTCAAATGCCAACTGATTGTTTTGTAAGTCCATATTGGCTGAAGAGATCAGTGTTGACTTCAAATATTTCATCAAACTTGTCCTTTTAGAGTAGAATTTCAGAGTGTCTGCATTTGAACCTCAGCATTGTTTGCTGTCTATTAAATTTGAACTGTTCTAAAGCATCAATAAATACCTAAAGATACCTGCATTTTGCTAACCAGCACATGAGATTGTTATAAAATGTAATGATAAAAAGATGTTACTGGAAGCAACTTGCCCTACTCTTCAAGTCTACAAAAAATATCTGTGAGATCAACCTCATAGGTTTTTTTCTGTAAGCCTTGTCTCTTTCTTGTCCCACAAAAATAGTGTTATGGCTTTGTTGTGTAATAAAGCAAACTTTAAAAATTATTAATTCTCTTTTTATAAAAACAAAACAAAAAAAGATCAGAGCTGAAAATATGAAGATACTGATCTGGAAATAATTCCATATATAAACAAGAAAATATCCAGCTGTGCTCTTCCCATAGCATTGCCAGGTATTGAATAAAGCTTTGTCTTGTCTGTTCTAATCTGAGAACCCTTCAATTTTTAATCCTTTGTAAACAGAAACTTTGCTGTGTTCATAACAAACCATGTGATCTTGAGTAAAATGTGTAATTCAGTAGTAGTTAACCAATTTGTTTAATGACTTCAAAAATCTCTGTAGTCAGAGTGTGAAACACTCTGCCCTGGCCTTATGCTGAGGTTTGTTGCCAAGCCTTGATTGAATGTTGTTCTGGGCTACAAACCTAATTTACAGCTTTTGTGATGAAAAGACTCATCACCAGAACAGCACAAAAGAAATCCTTGTTATGTGGTTTGTCTGTTGGTTCTGTCTGCTCTTCCCATCCAGGGGTGCAGGTGGACTAATTTGCAGCCATGCCTGTTGTCTTGGGAACTCAATTTATTCTACTTATTGATTTTTTGGAATGCTTTATAAAAACAAAACAAAAGGAGGAGTGGCATCTCGAATAGAGTAGGTGAGAAGGTACATGAAGAGAGTTAGTGTGCAATTTAAAAAATAAGTAATTTTGTGTACTAAAATAACATGTATATTGTTATTATGAGTGGTTTTCAAAGTGGTTGTGATTTGTGTAATCCTCTTTTCAATTCTTTTTGTGTAGAGCTCCGTGTGTTTCCAGAGAAATTTATCGTTTGTGTCAGTAAACTTGACTTTGATCCAAGTGCTTGGACATGTGACACTGGTGGATTGGTAGGTACAAAACTGTTCTATACATTTTGGGGGGTTTTTAATGGAAAGGAGGTGAATGTTTTTATATATAGATGTAGTTATTCAAGCATTTGTTACTGTAATCTTGGCACCAGCAAGTCACATGAACAATAGGGCCAAAGTATTCAAAAGGACATCCTGAAATGAGCCTGAGGCAGGCAAAAATGGGAATTTTGAAAGCTCAGCATTTTCTGAGCCTTATAAGTCTTGAAGAAAAAGACCATGTGTGAAAGCAGGGTATGATTATAGTACCTTGATTTAAGGATCTTTTTTCCCTTTTATATTTTGACCTTGGAGCATTTTACTTTTCAAAGTTATAATGGAGCTGTTTGCACTGTCCATGGGTTTCTTGTATGTTTTCTTAGCACTTGTTCTGCACAGCAACTCAAGCGGATCAGTGCTGGCCCTGCTGGGGAAAAAAAAATCCCCAAACATTTATGGAGGAAAAGGCACTGGTGTGTGGTTAAATACCATAAGCAATTCTCCTTAAATATTTCATCCTGAAGGCTTCATCAGGGTCAAAGGCTCGTGAATTTTGTCCTGCAGTTAAGTGCTGATTGTCTCAGGAGTGCTCACATGGGCCCAGGTGCCGCTCTGTGGCTCACACTGAGGGTCGCAATTACACCCTGAGGTCTGGGTGGATTTTAGGAGTTGATCTTACATGTATTAAAGTGTATTTGACCTTTGAAAAAACATGTTTTCTTTTACCCATTCAACTCCTTTTTTTAAATACCAGGCAGGGTTTTCATATTTATAATGCTAAATGCAGATTTTCTTGTTTTGATTCCTAGCTTGGTACCCTTAAGTGTCAAAGAATCAAGCAAATGTTTTTTGCACTCTCAGAAAAAAATGATCTCCCTGTTCTAGATGTACTTTGCTCTTTTGAAAATTATTACTTTTTCAGTATTGTCTTGAAAACTACTTAATGCTTGAAGTAGAAAATTCTATCTCTGCATTTTGACTGAGAAGGAATTCTGGGGTTTTTTTCTTGCTGAATTAACTCTTATGAAATATCCAATTCCCTCATTTGGTATTTTTAATCTTTCCATAAAATAAGAACTGACAAGTTTTCCTTAGTTTTTCTCCTGATTTTGTGTGGGAAGGAGAAGGCAAATTAAAAAATTTGATGTTAGGGACATTAGCTTTACTACTTCAAAATTGGATCTTGATCTGTGGAAACTCCTTGTTGTTTAAAAGGCAAGTTTAAACACTTTTATATTTAAAAAGAAAGTATCTCTTAGTGAGCTGATAACCTAATCAATAAGAAAGTCTTGGGAGTTTGCTTTGCTTACAGATGCAATGCATGTGCACAGACCTGGCTGGGATGGTCAGTGTAGAGTGTTGGTAGGAAGATAAAGTTTTCCCTAAGCCTCTTCCCTAATTTGAAGAACTTGGAAAGATGGGAGCAGACCCTCAGCAAATGTTTTGGAGCATCTGTTTAATTCTTACCACTCTCTCTTAAAGGGTCCACTCCAGACTGTTTTGTTGTTCTGGGATTCCTACAGCACATGAGAAGCAGATTTGTCATATACTCCAGTTGAGTACTTTGCCAAACTGGGGGAGTGTTTGATTGCCACTGAGAGTTTTTCAAGTTTTTGGCACTCCAGAAGAAAGGCAAAGAATCTGCACTTTGTGTGTGTCTGCTTTTCTCCGTGCAGTTGAGCCATGAGTAGGCTGGAATTCTAAACTCTGCCCTACAAAAGACCACCCAGAAGACCTTTCTGGTGATACACTCTGCAGATTCTGTCATGGGCTGAAAATGAGGCTGTGTTTTATTTTCTTCTGAATGTTGTTTGGGTTTGAATAATGCCGCAGTGTTGGATGCAAGTTGTTTTAAACCTTTAATCAGCTCACACCGTTGGATTTGAGGGCCTGTTTGTGTTTTACAAAAGCAGTTAACCGTACATTAATGGAGACATTGTCACTTTCCTGTGTTGCTGTGACTGTGATTGACTTAGTCAAGACTTAGTGATTATGTATTTTTTTAACTGTTTTTTATGCTGGTTTATGATCTGGGTCAAGCTTTCATTCCTAAGCTCTTTCAAGACAAATCAGGCTTAGTGTTCTCCTTTCCCATTATTTGGAACAAGTTTTATGTCAGCCTGGTGCACATTTCCTTCACTGACCACAATTCTCTCCTTTCACCTGTCTCCAGCCCTTTATTCTTTGCCTTTTCACTGCTTTTTAGGCTGTTCTATTAGCTCTGAAATAGGCTGTGCTTAAACCACGAATTTCAAGGGATGTAGCCAGCTATGAAATGAAATTTTTATGTCCTGTACCTTAGGAAAGATTATAATTAGATTGCTTTTGAGATATTCACAAGCACAAACCTCAGCATCAGTTGCTTGGAGAACCAATTTAAATCCTTCTGTGATTCCTCATGTAAGACTAAGCTTAGGATGGATTAGACAGTCTCTGTCAAATTAGCTTTAACCATAAACTAATAAAATATGTGAGAGTACCTCTAAGGAGCAGAGATGAAATAAAATAGAAGAAAATCTATCGATATGTAATTTTCTAGGATGTATTCATAAATGGGTGTGTCTGTGGTTATGTTTAAAACTCAGGCTGCAGGCAGTACTAAGCATTTTGGAAGGAGGGAAATGTCTAGTAAAAAAACAATATAACAAGTTATTGAAATTACATAAGCAAATTGGACGTCTTAAGGAAAAGATGGAAGAATAGGCTGAGTTAGTAATGCTAAGTTTCAACATAAAACCATTGTTTCCTGTTTCACCAAACTGTGTTTGTAATCTTGAATGGTTTTATCTTGAAAAAGAAGACAGTTTTGGGAACATGGCAAAAGAGGGAACTCAAGGAAATATATAAGAGCTCTGGAGAGATTAGTCACCTTTGTCAATGACAACATTTTCTCGATTATTATTATGTAGAGAGCTAAAATGGAAAATTGGAAATGGGTTATCTGCAGAAACAGTGGAAATGGAAATGGGTGGAAGGCTTATGAGCATTTGAAAATGTGCAAACAATGGAGTATTCATTGATAACCACATGGCTTTATACCAGAATCTATGAGAGGAAGCACTTCTAGGGAAAGCATGAAAGAGGTTAAGCTAAAGATGATATTAAAGTGGAAATTTGAAATTGCCGTTTGAATAAAATCAGAAAAGAAATTAGGAGTAGGAGATCCTGTCTTGATTCAAAAGGTCTCGGGGTTGCCACTGAGCCTTGTTAAATTACAGAGAATATTATACAAAAATAAAGATTCTTTTCCAGCAGAATATTACTCTTTAAAAACCAAACAAAACAAAACCAAAAAAACCCTCACAGGTACACATGGAGGAAAAAAGTTCTAAAGATGTGCCCAGTGCTTTTTAAATCCCCAGCAGGGAAATAAGCTGTTTCATCTTCTTCATACATGTCTGATTTATAAACTGTGTCATTGTAATACTCTTCAGGAGCATTAGAGAATTGTCATTCTTAAAACTCTTAAGAGCCTTAGTGGATTTTGATTATGCTGGGAAGAGGCTTCTGTTTCTTTCATGCAAACATGAAACTTAGCTGTAATTAACAGATCTGCCCCACTGGAGTGTGCCCTGCTGGAACAGTGTGTCTACTGGAATGTAAAATAAAAACTTCAGATAGCAGCAATTTGTAAAGATTAATACAGGACTTTATGTGGAATTTAGTTATCTTAAATGCTTTAAAGACTTATTGTAAGTGATATCAGATTGGGTAGGGGAAGAAGGAAATGCTGTGAAATGGAATTGCACAATTCACACTGTAAGTACAAACCTTGGCATGTGTGTGTATCTATATATGTGCATAAAATATTACAGTGAAACTGCTGTGCTGGTGAGCTGCTGCTGAAAAGGTCACTCTACTTCCCCTCTACAGCCACATATTCCTTTCCTTTCTGGTTACAATGGACCAAGTGATTCTTCAGTTGAGAATGAATTATTTCATTGACTTGATCTGGCAGAAAATTATTTATTTGTGAAGTTTCTCTGTTTTTCATTGGAAGATTAGTTTTCCATCATGTCAGTTCACTGAACCAGCTCATCCTGTACCCACACACTTGCCAATTGTGATGCAAAAAAATGTTGTAGGAGCACAAGCCAGGATTTGGATGAATGGAGCTGAAACAACCTTTAGGTAGCAGCTGAGAATTACCTGGGTTTGAAAGTAACATCCACAACATGTTAATGTTGCATTTCTTGTAATATTTGTCTTCTTGGTGGTTTTTTTAGGTCACTATCCTTTTTTAATATTTATAAAATACAGTTTTCTGGGATTTTAGATAATATGCTGAATTCTTTTCAGTCATTATAGGAAACAGGATAAAAACATTAAGCTGTAGTTGCTAAATATGAACAGGGTTCACTACTTCTTTCAAAAAGGTAGAGGGGGAAACTGCAGACTGATGAACTTTATCCAAATACCACGTTAGTGGAACAGGCAAAGAATTGCTTGGGTGAGTTTTTGCTTTTGACACTTCAAACTTCTGTCTCTGTTTTTTTACTCATCCTTCATGTTCTGTGCTCCTCCTGCCTTTGCTTCCCTGGGCATTCCTGTCTTCAGTGTTTGTCAGTGCTGGGGTCATTCAGTGATCTGTCTGAAAACAAGAGGTGTTTTTGTTGTGGTTTCTTGTTGTTGTTTGCGTGGTTCCCTTTCAGCAAGATGCCTTCAGTGTTGATCCTTGGCAGGACCACGTGTTGGGTAAGGGTGAGACTTCCCTTTCATTGTTGGTGTAGCTTTAAATTAGCTTGAATCATTAGGCTGCTTTCTGTGAGAAACAGCATCAGAGTAAAGATCCTGAAGTCTTTGACTCGGTCATAAAAAGAAAGCTACAGCAGCTTTACAATATTCCCTTTTGTCCAGGCTGTCTGCCTCTTCTCCTTGGAGATTACCACTCCTGCAGTTTGCCAAAAGGGCTGTGTGCCTGCATCTCATCTTTCTGTGTATCACAGTCTTGTGGATTCATGCACACCGAGCTTCCTTGGATTTTCAGCTCTGCACTGAAT